CTCCCAATCCCAAATGGGTACCAGCCCCCACTTCCTCCCTCCCTACCTCCCTCAACCCCTCCCTCCCTTCCCTCCCTTACCTCCCTTCACGCTCAGCCACCACAATCTTACTGGTTTCTCCCGGTTGCATGCTTGCCTCCCCCTGCAGGCTGACCTTCCGTGATCCATCCTCTTTCCCCCGCACGCCCAGATCCCTCTGCGCCTCCAAGCCCCGCAGCCCCTCGGACAGTTGTGTCCGACGAGGTCCCCCCCCGACAATGGGCGTTTGACAAACAGCGAGGCCTATTCCCAGGCGACAGGACGCTGCCGCTGAGCAGAACGAGGGCCGGTGCAACTTAACCCTCAAGCAACACTTGAGGCGGGATGTTTGAGAGCAGCCCAACAAGGTGGAGGAAGCACGCCCCACGAAGGGGTAGGGTCCCGGGAGTGTTGGAGCAGGGGGACACTCCGTGTCCAAGGCCTCAGAGGCCAGGTCGTGCGGCGCGGGACCGTCGCCTTTCTCTGTCGGGGCATCGAACGCAAGAGCACAGGGAGGTGATGACGGGTTGGCAGTCCCCTGCCCCACCTCCTCGAAGGTCTCTGATGGGCTGCGCCAAAAAAAGCGACTTTCACCAAACCATGAGGACTCTGCCCCCCAGGGATTTAGAGGGTTTTAAAGCGGGATTTGGGGGTTGGGGGGGTGTGGGTGGGGGGAAGTGATCTGATCGAAGTCTTCGGGACGTTAATTGAGGGGGTCGGGGGTCGGGGGAGGTGTACGGGTCGATAAACAGTTTCCCTCCCCACCCCCGGGTATTTCGGAGCTTAGCCCCGAGGACAAGGAGTCAGACCGTCTGGGACAGGTACCGGGAAAGGCGAGAGAGAATGGGAGGGAGGGATGTGGGTTCGGAATTCCCGGAAGCGGATGCTGCGTCAGGTGCTCGTGTGGTTTTCTTTTCCATTTAAAAACCTGAGGGAGATGCATTTTTTTTTTAAAAAACTACCCTATCGAGGGGCAAAAGGGAGGAGGTGTGCGTGGAGTTAGACCGCGCTGAGTGCCGGCACGGGGGCTGGAGGGGCCGAAGGGCCTCCTCTAGATCCTGTGGTTTATTCCCGAGGTCCCCTCTCTGAAGGACCAGCGCGCACTTCTTCGTTAACTTTTTTTTATATAGGTATTGACAGAACCTCGTGCTGTCCTTTTAAATATTTCTGGCGAGCTTTCTTTTCCCCAACCCCAACCCCAACCGATCGTTCTCCCCTCTTTGTCGTGTCCCGCTCTTTGCTGGTTTTCGTTTCACTTTCTGCCCAGTCGTCTGACCCACCACCCACCTCCTCCCCCACCCCGCCTCGGTTTTGTCCCTCGCCTCGGGAGGAGGCGAAACATGCCTCAGACCTTCGTCTGTTTCACGTAGCTCCTCTCGCTCGGCTCAACCAAACTGCCACTGCGCTTCGGGGATCTCCGCGTTCGTCACCTCCCGACAGAGTGGGGGACAGGCGGCTCGGCCCGACAGGTTCCACGCCGACCCTCCGAAGAGCAACCCACCCCTGCCCCTGTCCCTGTGACCCCCCGCATTTCCCACGGCCAATCCCACC